GAACCTATTGCAATAAAACGGCAATTTCATACTTTAACCCCTAATTACATATTATTGGCATCATGCCAAAACATTTTTAACGAATGCACAAGTTATTGTATCCCTCAAGGTAAGGAGTTTTAACAGTTATTTGGTTTTATGTCAATTAAACATAACTTGACATATGGATGAGAAATCATACCCAAAATATTTACAAAATATTCACCTGGATGCAAAAGCCTTATACAAGTTATCCAAGGCATCAGCGGGCAGTTCCTTGAGTGCTTTTGCTACTGGTGGTTGAGCTTGGATGAGTTTCATCCACCTCAGGATGTTTTTTGGAGGGTTGGACTTCGATAGCTCCTTGAATTTCGAGGATACTGGAATCATAAAATTATGTAATGTTTTCTTTTATTGGGCTCAGTTTCAACCTAATAATTTCAGATTCAAATATGCAATATCAAAAAGAGATAGTTTGACACTTTTGGCAGAGATCAAGTGTGCAATAACCTTATAATAGTGCAATAAAGTCAGTGGCAGTGCGGTTACTATGTCGGCCACGCAGAGGTCCCAGGTTCGATTCCCGGGCCAGGAGAAATATTTGTATGGCCTAGATTTATTTCTCTTGTGAGTTTGGGTGTAATTTGTGGTTGTCTATGTGTGTGTCCATGGCACCCGCGACATAAGGTTTCCCTAGTGCGGGGCTATGTTGAGTGCGGGCATTATTATTATTATTATTATAATTATAGTTAATCATTATTATTAACAAATTTTGTTATAAATAGACAAACCTACTATGTTCTATTAATGGACATTATAGCAAGAGGATGCTGTGTGTAATAAAATATAACCAAACACAAATTACTTGCAATTAAATAGTAATTAATGATGACACGAAACATAATGTTAAAGTTATTAAATACATATTAAATACAGCATTTGACCGAAAAATGTTAATCGGCTCATATAAGTCACTTGAACATGCAAAAAGTGAATCAGGAATATTTTCTTATACCTCTGGAGTTATTTATAGTTGTTTACTGGTTGTGAAATGTTTCATCCCTTTTTAGCAAATGAACATTAATATTCAGCTTATGTACTGACATCAGACGTCATGATATATGATAGTTTGGAAAGAAGTGTCCTAACGTAAAATTAAAAGATAAAGTAAAACTACAATTAAAAGCATGTCAAAGACTAAAAAAGTCACAGAAATAATAAAACAACCAAATTTATGCAAGACCAGAGGCGTCTCGTCCTAAGGAATGGTGTAGTGAACTCCCACTCCTATCCAACCCACCAAAATAAATTTATTAATTAAGCTTTCATATTATATTAGTAGCCGTAGTCTTTTTTTATTAATGAGCGACAAACATATAATTAATTTTTATCTTTCTCTTTAATATAATATAGCATACTGACCCTTGAGTAGAGCACTCCGTGATGCGCTCCTATAAACCAAAGTTGCTTACAAAGTTCAATACTGAATTCAATGGGTGCGAACGAGAAATTTCTTAACAGAGCGACACGTGAAACAAAAGACTAGTATTAGAAAATTAGCAAACTTTGAGTGGCACTCTGCGCAAATAATCAGACCGTATTTTTTTCGCGTGCATTTTGTTGTGTTGTAAAATGTATTATTATTTAATCATTGTTAAGAAGCGTAGTGTTGCTTAGTGGCATTGTTTAAAATGGACACTATAATGTGAGTTTAATTTTTTATTTAAAATATGTATAGGTAAGTGAACTCCCACTCTCACGAGCCGCCTCTGTACAAGACAAAACTGATAAATGGACAAAAGTTACTGTGAAATGGTATTCAAGACAGGAAAAAAGGGGAGACCATGTTTTAGATGGGAAGATTTTAAATATGTTGCTGGAGGAGCATGAGGGCAAATAGTAAGAAATAAAGAGAAATGGAAATCTCTGGAAGAGGCCTGTCTTAAGACAAGCTGAAGTTGCAGAGTTAACTTAAACATAAAAATTCAAGTTGTTACTTGAACATGCTTATTACGTTACATTAAGCATGTCATTATGACATGCTTAATGTAACATAATAAGTTATATAATGTTACTACTGTTTCTGTATTAGTTAGCATGTAAGTTCATTCTTGCTAATCAGCAATTAAGACTTTCAAATAAATAAATATGTAATGACATGATGAGGTTGTGATGTCACAAATAAATATTTCCACTTCTTTCTAACTCCTGATTTATGAATATGCCACATTAAATATTTTCAATTTATTTTAATATGAAATAATTTTTTTCTGAAGCAATGACGGGTATAGGATACTATAAACTTACCATACAAAACGCTAAAAACAGCAAGATCAGAGACAGACAAACTTTCGCCAACTAAATATGTCAATGGACCCAACGCCTTGTCCAGGTACTCAATAGATTTTGGGATTTCTTCATCCAGGATGAGACTGAAAGACAGCCAATGGTTCATCGTAACCCTCTGCAGCGGCCCAGCGGACTTATTGAAAGCATTCTCAATAATCCTTATTAAATCATTACTAGTTCCATATGGCACAGATTTCAAAGCATTGGGCAATGTTACAGACGCTTCAGTTCCCCAGGACACTTCAATACTCTTCGACATGGACCTGTATAGCTCTATAGCCAAGAAACCACCTGGAAATTCACATAAATAGGCTATTTTAGGCTATGTTCATAACCTGAAGCAATATAAAGAAATATATGTATGAAAGTAGATATTTTACCTAAAGGTGGGTTAGATTTATTACACAAGATCTTCATTGTTAGTGATTATCGCGTGTTTCGGGTTAATTTTCTTATTTATTTGAGTAAAATTAACACCTGTCGACCACCACACACGACAGAAATGTCACATTGACAACTGTAGTGGTACTATAATAATCTTTCTAATTTCTGTTTAATGTAATATATTTAAAGAGAGTTGGAAGTTGAAATAAGCGTCGTCGTCACTTCAACCGAAAATTTGGCACCACTGGACAAAGTCAAGTAATAAATAAATAAAATTGAATGAATTTATCGTAGTAACACGTAACATAGTAATTTAGCGTTAAATAATATTATAGTAACCTATATTATGTAAATAAAAGATAAAGCTGTTTTTCAGACCGTACGTTTTAGACAAATTCTATAAAACCTGCAAGGCATATAGGCTAGCTCCATACAATACAAAACATAGATTTAGTATATGTATATGATACAAACTCAAAACTATGAACATCTCACATATTTGCCGAATTTTCACATAACGTATATTATGAAAGAAACATATAGTAGCACCAATCAGCACAGTGCAATGTTTGGTGTCTTCAGGATATCAAAATACAATTTTTTAGGAAATATTTTTTCATACATACATTCGTATAAATATTTACACTTTATTTTCACTAAATAGTGAAATAAAGACCCTTGCCATGTATATATTCAGTACTTATACCGACATCAATCGTAAAAAAAAAATGTATTGAGAAACTAATACTACAAAACTACCTAAAGTTTTTGAACTCTCTCTCATTTCCTACTGTCATTCATCCCTTCTGTTGTCAAAATTGTCAACTCAACTCGAAAATACTCGAAATTCGTATTCGTATTACGATAACTCGATGTTTTTTTTTTGTATTTTCTACTCAGTAAATCATGTAAACTGGACACAGTGTAATAATTAATATTGACAACGATATAAAGAGAGTTAAACCGATACAAGTTTTCGCCATTGCGCATCCCGAGCACTATTTGTATATTTTTTTTTTTGGACATAACAACTTGTGCGTAACATTGGTTCTAAAAAGAGAACCACAAGCCGAAAATGTATATAAATTAAATTTATCTATTAGTTTTATACAAAGCAAAGTCGTACTTTTGTATTTACCCAGTTTTTAGTGCAAAAAAGAAGAGGTTTGTAAAGATGAAGATGAAGAAACAGAATGTACGAACCTTGTCCCTTGTCGTATGTACTTTCACATATTTGCTTATTGGAGCAGCAGTCTTTGATGCCCTGGAGTCAGATACTGAGAGTAAACGATGGGAAGTTCTTTCAGGTAATATTTCGGTACTAAACATACTTTTGACCACCTCTGTGCCCGGTATGCTCGATTCGGGTACGATTCCCGGTAGGATCAATATAAAGAAGAATCAGTTATGTATATAGGAAATTAACTTTTTTAAATTATTTCGATGGAGCCATAACATTTAAAAGAAGAAGAAGAACGTTTTTTAAATTGGTTTTGGTTGTTCTGGTCCGAGTGATCTGGTTAATGTGCTGGAGTGAATTCCATCAAACTGACGGAAACTGCGTCTTTTCCGAATCGAGGCGCATAATTGCGATTCACAACTGACAGATTGGAAATTTTTGACATTTCTAATCGGAACATTAGTTGATTATCTCACAAATTAGAAAGATGTAGGAATCAGGTTCATCTTCTCGCTCAGTAACCCATCTGATTTCTAGACAACCTAATCCGATTGATTCCAATTTGAATAAAAATCAGGACGCCGATACTCAGAAAATTTTCTAGTTAAGACCAAGCAGGGGTCTGGCACACTATTAGTATTAACTGGGAATATTGAAGTTTCATTTTTATGTCTAACCCACATTCCATTGCCATAAGGTTTAGGCCACAGACTTAATGAAGTAAAAATGAGAAAGTGCCTTTCCAAATTGTAGTCTGTTATACTTATATATGTGATTAAATATTCTCAAAATACACCACCACATTTTTCAAATGAATGTATTTAACTTTTCAGACATGAAAAATGGTCTAGTCCGTAAATACAACATCACACCAGAAGACTATCACATGATAGAAATAGTAATAATAGAGAATAAACCTCACAAAGCTGGGCCACAGTGGAAATTTGCTGGTGCCTTTTATTTTGCTACAGTCGTACTAGCCATGATTGGCTACGGACATTCTACACCTGTTACAGTTGGAGGAAAGGCGTTTTGTATGGCTTATGCTATGGTAAGTTATTTTGTTTCTTCACATATTATATTATTAGTAGAATTCCCAGTGGCTAGTATGGTAAATTACAGACCCATGGCAATGCCATTTCATTTTAACCATTGATATGAACATAGTTATTGTTGTAATATTGTTATTACTTTTTCACAATAAGTTTAATATAATAAAGTAATTTTTATTATCTAACTTATAGGTGGGCATCCCTCTAGGCTTAGTGATGTTCCAGAGCATAGGTGAACGTCTCAACAAGTTTGCATCAGTTGTAATCAGACGAGCCAAATGTTATCTCAGGTGTAACACTACAGAAGCGACTGAGATGAATCTCATGTTTGCTACGGGCATGCTGTCTTCTATTATTATTACTACAGGTAAAAACAGTCAAACTATTGTATGCATAATCATTTTACCTGCAGAATTACTAATATCTGTCAAAAACAAAAGTTGTCTTTCATAGAAAAGGAATTCGTGATTTTGGAAAAAATAAGCATTCAAAATAGGGATGCCGCAGACGTCTGCATCCGCATCCGGAACGCGGATGATCCGCAACATTTTTTATTACCTGCATCAGACATTTCTGCATTAATGAATGCAGAGTTTTTGCAGGTGCGGATGTTTTGCAGGTCACAACAAAATCGTCTCGCAAAGCCCTTGCCAAGTACTAGTGCTAATTAGCCAATCGAGAATTCGGCAGCGTGTTGGTTTAGGCAACAACCTGTTTGTTTTCTAAACACATAAATAATGATTTAGCTTATGTTACATACTAGTTGCGAAAATTGTGTTTGAATTTAAATTGATTTTCGTCACAGCTTATTGATTTTCGTAACTACATTTAATTTTTTTTAAATTTATTGCTGGCCATGGAAACAAAGTCCTTCAGCCGAAAACATAAACGTTTAATTATATTTCTGTAAATATGGCCACCACAAAGAGGATAGGCAATTTGAGGCGGCGTGCTTGGATTGACTCGGGGTTCCTTAGAACGGGCCGATACGGGTATTTTAGTTCGAGATTCGTATAATTTCGCGTTTTAATCTTCGATGAAGGCACAATAGCACTATCCTATTCCACTTTAAACTAGATTTCACAAAATAATTAAAAGTCAAAATAAAAACGACACTTTTCCCTCCAAAAGGCCCAGAGCGAATCCCCAACTACGTTTAAGTATAAACAGTGCTGCCACCTTTAAAAAATGTTTTTTAGAACGTTTTCACTCACGATCTCAAAGTGAACAGCTTTTTATTTACATTATATATTTATATTATTCTTCTTCGCGGCGCGGGCTTAATTTACGATCCACTTGGAAATAGATTAAGTCCCAAAAAGGTGGAAAATTATTATTCATAATATGTAAAGTCCCCATTATAAAAGAACTTGAAGTATTAATAATACATGTAATATTCCATCAATATCTTTTAACACAATTATGTAAAACTATTATATCTGTTTCAATTAATGATAATTCAATGATCACCAGGGTTGATCAGCAAATGTGGATCAAAAAAACATTTTTATCACACATCCGCATCTGTAGATTTGAAGGTGATAACATTCACATTCCTGTCCGCATCCGCAGATGTCGTCATAATAACCCACATCCGTGACATCCCTAATTCAAAGGACATTGGGCCCAGGGTTACCAAAATCAAGCAGTTGTAGCTGGCCACTGAACCAAAACAACATAAGACAGCCTAGCCTAGCCTAGAACTTGCATGTGTAACAACAATATAACACTTGCAGTCACACGGAAACCAATATTGTTAATGTTACAATAGTAACTGAAAAACCACATCCAAAACTAAAAGTTTAAACAGTCGAACTTAGAATTTTAACAGCCATCTGCAGGGAATTCTATAATAATTATGTTTCGTAGGTGCCGCAGTGTTTTCTCGTTATGAAGGCTGGAGTTACTTTGACAGCTTCTACTACTGCTTCGTGACGCTTACTACAATTGGCTTCGGTGATTATGTTGCTTTGCAGGTAGGTGATGGTTACCATTACATGTTATCCTACAAATATAGTTCTGTGTTAGATTCAGAAAATGGGGCTTTGTCAGGTAGGTTGACAATTAGACATCCCTGACTTTTCCTCCCTCTTCTCAATGAAATCGTTTAAATTACCAACGGAATTTTAAATATTCCTACTTTTTACATGGTATATTAAGCGTCGCGCACTCAGACAATCTACCTGATTGAAAGTAGTAACCACTATGTATACCGGTTTACCACTCTTAGAAAGCAACCTTTGTATCGCAAAGGCGTAGACGACCGTGGAACATGATATCTTAAGCTTCCAGTGCCAGTGTTTGCGTTGGCTCTGCTAACCATTAAATTGGGAATACAGTGGTGCTGCTTTACAGTAGTAGTGGATAGTACAGTGACACCTACCCAGGCAGGTTTTGTACTGACAGGAAAGCTTACTACTATCAAAAATGATGACGATTTCAATTGAAATTTGTTTATTTAAAATAAGCACATTTTGAACTTGCCTCATTAAGCAAAAGGAAAGCTTTGTCACAACGACACGTTTTTGTTTTTAGTCGTGAAGTATGCGGCATAGGCTACTTATGCAAATATATTTTTCTCAAATATGCCCAGAAATTTTTGTATTACTTTCAAAAAAGAACCTAGAAAGTGTGTCATTTATGGAGCGTGCAACTCGTTACAGATAAGCACTATATATACCTTGGCGGGAACGGGGATTGCCTGACTACTAATTCATACCATATTCGTTCTGCAACCCTTTACTTCCCAGCCTCTGCAATAATGTACTATTATTATTCCAGAACGACCAAGCCCTCACAAGTAAGCCAGGCTATGTGGCTTTAAGCCTAGTGTTCATTCTCTTCGGATTGGCCGTGGTCGCCGCTAGCATCAACTTGCTTGTCCTGCGTTTCATGACTATGTGAGTATTGACGCAAGATAAATCCAGTTAGACAAGTACAAATGTGCCCTTGCCTATAATAAAAGATACAAGTTGTATAAAGTGTAATCATGTGTGTTCTGGTATTTAATATCGTCTTTAATTATTTTCAGGCAAGCTGAAGAGAACGCCCGCGAGGAAGAAAAGGAAAATTCAAGAACGCTGTTGCCGATAGATGGACACGTCATTGGTCGACAAAGGGCACATGAAGATCAGGCTTCGGTAAGACTTTTTGACAATGCAAATGCGATGTGTCATACACATCTCAGGTTTTTATATTAGATCTGGCTCTACACACTGTCTTCACGGCTGAGACTCATACACTTATGACCTAATATAGTAATTGTTGAGGTACGAAGCAGGGCTATGACGTTTCTAACGTGGTTACTTTATCGAGTTCTTAAGTTTTTGCGATTCCTACACATTAGAAATGAAACAATTTTATTTTAGACAAAAAAACGGTTTATTTAACCTTAATAATATAAATTACCTTAATCACCACTAAGGCTAAATTTACATTACCATGGAACGGAAGTGAGTTTTTATGTCGAAATAGTCCGTAGCATAATGAAATTTATGTCAGTTGTGTAACAAACTAGATAAAAAAAAACAAAAAATAGGTTGCGCGTTTTCCGGAGAATTCTCGCGCAATTTCAGGAATTCCCGCAGCTACCGTATCGTATCTAATTGTAATTGATTGAAAGTTAATAATTATGCTACATAGATACAAAAAAATTAACTTCGATTCATTATGCGGTATGAACCTCTCTTTACAAAATTGCAATGTAATATATAGAGAGATGATATCCTTGTCATGACTAACATAATCGGCATTTTTGGCGAAATTGAGTTATTGAGTAGCTGGAGCTGTAGTTGGCAGCTCAAGCCTATGTACACGGGAATCTCATTAATAAATATTAAAATGTATTTTCCAGTTGTTACTAACACAAATTTTTAAGTTATTTTGTTACTACTAACACTATGGATTCAGAGTCCGAAATAAATGATTATTATTATATCTATTTTAGACTCTCGCCTCTCCCCTTATTACTATTATACTAATAATATTATAATCGATTTTGGTGATTCTTTTTTTTGTTGGAAAGAAGGTACCTCAGTAGTGGTCCCATTGAAGAAAACATTACACCTCCAAGGGTGGCAAACCAGGGGATGAATGAATTTTGAGGTCAGTTTTGTAGTACCCTGTACTGATTCAAAGATTGAAGAAATTTAATTAAAGAAAGAGAAAAGAACTTTAGGTGCCAACGTCTCGAAAGTTACCTAAATGAAAATCAATGCGTTAGTTGTGACAAAGACGGCAGTCACGCAATCCGTGTCTAAGAGTCGTATTCTAGAACTCTATTCAATGCTCAAGTCAGGATTGCACTTGATATACGATCCTAATGGCAGGGACTTGAGTATGATTTCGAGTGTTTTAAATCATACTCAAATCCTGACTTGAGCATTGAGTAGAGTTCTAGAATACGACCCTTAGACTTACTTCTGAATGCTGCCTACAACATAATGCTTGCTATAACTTTGTAAACACACATACTCATATAGGTACTACTTCTACAGGTATGCTCGTGCAACTGTCTCGGCAACAAGCAGTGTGAGGGCGCACTGTTGGCGGCGCCGCACCGCGTGTTGGCAAGCCGCCTGTCGCTCGCGACTGATCGTCTCGAACGCGCCTCCGTCTAATCGAGGAGTAATGACAACGTTAATGTCAAACAACAATTGCCTCCGCGGCCGAACGGTTACCTTGCCGTACTGCCACATAAAGGTCCCAGGTTCGATTCCCGGGCCGGGAGAAATATTTGTATGGTCTACATTTATTTCTCTCGTGAGTTTGGATGTAATTTGTGGATGTCTATGTGTGTGTCCATGGCACTTGCGACACAGGGTTTCCCTAGTGCGGGGCTACGTTGAGTGCGTTATTTATTATTATTATTATTATTACGATAGCGTACGAGCTGTTAATTCGTGAATATAATTTTAATATGAAGTTCTGATTACTAGTAACGTTTCTTCTACAATTTTTGGAAGTTAAATGGATGCTGATGGGCCGATAATGATTGAAATGAAACAAGTTCGGCTATTTAATGTTTAAGCGTGACTAACATTCAGTCGATAGTCGATGGAATATTATCGATTGCAATCACTAGCTGCTAGCAAGTGGGCAACATTTGCGCAATGAACAGTCATTTTACTCCATCTTAAAAAATATACGAGTATAGTCAGTTTGTTCCTTGTAGTATTCAAACATTGACCACAAGCTAAAATTATTTTCTAAACTTGACAAATATGTGTATTAATACACATCAAAAGAGTCTAGGGAAAAAGCATGTTTTCGCCAATTACCGGAAATCAGGCTTTTTGTTATTTTTTTTTAACACTGTTGGATATTTTTTGGTCAATTTTGTAATTAGAATTTGAAAAATTAAATTGACCAAACAAAATTCTTTGGTGTTAAAAAATCATTAAAAAACTTTACTTTCAGAAACTTATGATGTGTGTAGATGACATTGTGTTACAAACTAATTTGTCAATTGCGCCTTGCTAATATGGGTTGATGGCGCTAATCCTAAGCAAAATAACAGAATGGCCGAACCGGCTGGCAGTATCCATAAAAATCGGTGAAATAACCGCCATCTAGTGGATTTGTTTGTTATCACTAGAAATTAGAATCGCTTTGATAAATTGCAGCTCGTCAATAACTTACAAATATAGCTATTTGGTACTCGTCGCGACAGTGTACCAATCGGTACTAAATACCTGACTACGTTATAGTACGCTGTGGCAGTCTTCTTGAGTTATTGATCCATAGTAGTATGTAAGTGTAATGATATCACACAAAAAATAGTCAGTTTTAAAATTTAGATATTGACGCATTTATATTACGAATATTCCATGAATAAGAATTTATTTATAGGTAGTATTGATTATTTTTCATTCAGAACATTAAAACATCAAAACAGGCTCTAATCTTGTCCCTACAGCTTTTCAGAATACGAAATTCGACACCATTGTCTAATAATAAAAAGAAAATACCTCATTTTATATCACGTTTGATGAACGCACTCTTATTTAAATGTATACTGCTGTTAAAAACTACTAAATGCATACAAAATATCACAAAATACTAAAATGCTACACTACGAAAGCTAGAAATCATTATGTATTCAGGGCAGGCGCAGAATAGGAAATAATAAGTAAGTGGTTTTTTGTGTGTGACGGCTGTCTGTACATATACTAAATCACATTATCTTGCACTCTTAAGTGTTTAAATCTAGTCAATACTCAGTATTTGTGTTAGCTGTAAGCTGTTTACAATTTCTGCAAATGTTCTACAATTCTTATCTGTGATATAAGTTGATCTCGTTTTATTTTTCTAACATTCAAAACATGATCGCACATACATTATGTTATAGAATAGGATTTTTTTTACTGGTTATTTGTATTTTAATACAAATTTTTATTGTTGTGCCAAAAATTGGTGAAATGAATAAATGTTTCTTTTATAAAATGACTTATCTTTTCGTGGTAATGAAAAATACCAATTTTGTTCACATGATTATAAACCCTTCGGTACAATTGGTCTAATTTCCCGATCGGTCCACTTTTACTATTCGTTTACTTTCCCGATCGGGTCACTTGTTTTTCCTGATTCGTCTATTTCCCATTTCGTCTACTTTCCCGTTTGGTCTAGTTTTCAATTTAGTCTACTTTCCCGATCGGTCTACTTTAATAATACGTCTATTCAACCCCTTCGGTACAATCGAAGATATAATGAAAACTATGGAAAAGCCAGAACAAAACGGTTTAATTATTTTTTTGAAATTGCTTGTAAACAGGCGTGTGTTCGTTTAATTTAGATCGGATCATGATACAGTCAGGGCGCGTTCCCATTACGTCGTCACGTTTTATTATCGTTGGACGACTGTCGTGTCTAACCTGTTCCCATATCACGACAATCTGTCGTGGACGATTTTTTATCGTTGAACGACTGTCGTGACTAGCTGTTCCCACTAGATCGTGACGACAATTTTATCGTTTCACGACAGCCTCCTTGCCCATCTCTGGTTAGGACCCAACGCTACTGCAAAGCGAGCAGAGGGCGCGGGGTACGAGAGGGGAGGGCAGGGAGCAGAATACGTGCGGACTGTGATAAATAAAACGTAACGACAATAGGAGCTGCGACAATCTGTCGTCACGTTTTTATCGTGACGTTTTTTTATCGTCTGACGACTGTCGTTCTAGCTGTTCCCACTGTGATGACCTATATACTAAATCTATGGTGACGACAGTTTGTCGTTGTAACGATAAAAAATCGTGAACGACAGTTAATCGTGTCGTGCTATATGTGAACTTCATTTAAATATACAAGCCACGACACTGCAAACTGCACGACACTCTGTCGTCACGATATACTCGTAGTGCGAACGCCCCCTTAGTGTTCTCAAAAGTATTATGTGGGCCGATCCCGGCGGCACTGCAATGCCGGGCCGACCCGTGACGGGAGTGGAGCGAGCCCCGAACATCCCGTCTGGTCACAAAAATCAGTTTAACCTTTAACTACCGACCTATACGTCTCACAGACGGCGTTA